TCATTATTTTCGTTCATTCTCGTTCGTGCTCGGAGAACGTTCTCCAACAATAAATGGGCCACTTTCACATTTTTCAAAAACATTTTTAAATTATTCTTTTAGTCATTCTAATACTATCTGTATACTTTTTTTCCGAAAAAAAAACGCCTATTATTGAAAAAAAAATTTTTAATTTAAAATCGAATTGTTAAACTGGCGCGAAAACGCGAACTTGGTTTGTGACGTCACACACCAGAAAATCAACAAAAATGCGAGGATGCCAAATTTCTGATTAGTAAATCATTACACATTTCAATAGCTAGAAACTATTTTCGTCCTTTAACACATTTAAATTTCGCATTTATACATGTGGCAACAAAAATGTCAAAATCGGCTTTAGCCAATCAGACAGCGTTTTCAATCACGTGATTTTTTGTTTAAATTTTTAGTTTTTATTTATTAATTTATTTAATAATCTGATTAAAATCTTGCAAAATATTGTTCATTCTCGGTTGCATTGATGTATCTGCGTCAAAAAATATCATAATTTGCCATATTCCCGGCACGTGAAAGTGGCCCATTCTCGACCATTTTACAACACTACAGTTGGCGATTATAACTGCCGATGAGGGCGCTGCGGAACGTAAACAAATATGGAGGAAAGCGCGTATAAAATTGCGGCTCCTTCTACGTGCCTGCATGCGGACCACGCCCTCCTTTGTAACCTTATCGTCTGTGTTTTCCTATATTCAATCGACTGCAGATAGCAGATGCATTGTAGAAGGTGAAGCTTTGATGAATGCCAAACATGTAATTTTGATTGGTACGACAGGTGAAACAGAGAGTTATGTGGAGATACTTGCACTTTGTCTTCAAACAATTGCCATCAAGAGTAGCCCCCATGAAATCAAAGGAAAACTGGTCAAAGACGACGACAAAATAAACATTGCTAAGTTTATATGCAGCTGCAAAGCAGGTTTATCTGGGACTTGCAAGCATATTGCTGCAGTTCTTTTACAATGTACAAGGTAAATTGAATACATAATACAGGGTGTCCGAAAATAGCTTGAAAGCCTTCAACTACATTGTAGGGCATCCTTTTAGAGCCCCCATAAAAATAATTTGAAAAATCCTTCTTGATCATTATTTGTATTATAAAGTAGTAAATGTGGAGATTCAACTTCCTTATTTTTAATTTTTTTTTCAAATTGCAGTATTTGCTACAAAAAAATAGCTATCTTTTTTTTGATTTAAAATAATTATAATGATTTATGGAAGTTTGTTATTACCTTAATTTAATTGCAAAATCTCTAAAAATTGACCTGAAAACATTTTTCAGTGCAAACATTTACAGTATCTAATTCCCAATGTAATTACATATTCAACAACCTAATTCTGTGACAAATTGCTCCCTGTAGGTAAACGGATTACGGAGTACCTGCTATGTCTTACCTGTTGCAAGTAGGTACATGATTACTGGAATATAGGTAGCTCTAAGTTACCACAAGGTAGTATTTTGATTGTTGCCAAATTTAGTAAACATTGAAATGCTAATAATTTTCGCAAGAGTGCCACCAGATTTTTTAAATTATTTTTCTGGGGTACCTTGAAGGGACCTCCACCACATAGTGACAAGATTTTGGGCTATTTTGCGGACTACCATTTATTTTTTAAATTTTAATGAATTTGTTTAATAAAACTAATATCATAAAACTATATTCAGCTCTATAATCTTCTCTATTTTTTTAGGTCCAGTATTTCTTCATTTGAAAAACTCTCCAGTACAGATATGAAGTGTTACTGGAACAATAAGAAAAGAGTAGTCGAAGAAGATTATGAGGCTAAACCAATCCTAGAAACTGCTTGCTTTGAGTCCAAAGTCAAGAGGAAACCTCCATTAACTCCAGAATAAGAATTGGAATGTGTTACTATTTTGACCTCAACTTGTTCAGGATCAAGTTTGTCTCTTCATTTGTAAGTACTTATGAGACTGTGACATTCTATTTTCAATAATTATTTTTGAAAATATAAGATGAATACATAATACATCATGCATTTTACTTTTTAGAAAGGGTCGTGTTCCAAGTACCAAATCAAGGGAAGAAATCAAAGAAATTTCCTCATCTTTTGAAAGCATTTTAGCAAATGCTTCAAACAATGAGTTTCTGGCCAGCATCAATATCGATCTAACATCCTACCAGCTAAAACCATGTTGTGAAGGTGTATTGAAGAATGTTTCAAATATCGAAAGTTTAAAGAATGCTTTAACATGTGATCAAAAGTCAGAAATTTGGAATCAAGAAAGAATGTTCCGCATTACAGGTAAGATTGATATTGGAAATCGATTAGTTTGTAATTTAATCCCCCTGGGATTAAATATGAACAAATATCCCAAAGGGACAAAAAGTGACATTTCATAAGAGAGTGAAATTGTCACTTTAGTCCCGGAAGTACGAAAACTATATTTTTTTGAGATGCTGTGTAAATTGGAAAATTTTCTCTTAGGTTCTAGATGTTATTCTCTTTATACATTTTCAAAAGAAAATTGGGACACCAAAGCGAATAATTACTTTTGGCCAAAAAAGTTCACAAATAAGTACATAGAACATGGCGTAAAATATGAAAACGAGGCTTTGGATATGTACAGGAAAAATACTGGCTATGATGTTGCTGAGATGGGCGTTCTAATTTGTAAACAATATCCATGGTTGGCTTATTCACCAGATGGTGTTGTGATGACTGATGGATTACCTACAAAATTAGTAGAGATCAAATGCCCTTATGATGGTAAGAGCTTTTTTAAACAATAAGTATTTGTAGTACCTAGGTATTATGTCACTGATCAATTTAAAAATGATTTTTATTTTTAGGTTTGGAAAATGATGCCATAAATTTCGCACATTCTTGTTCCTATTTGGCAATTAGCGAAGAAGAAGGCATAAAATTGAAAAAGAAACATGCCTATTATGGCCAAGTTCAGTTAGGTATGGCAATACTGAACCTGACTAGCTGTGATTTGATCCTTTACTCCACCAAATCAAAAACATATTTAAATATATCTGTACCCTTCGATGAAGATTTCACTAAAAATATGATCTGCAATGTGACTGACAAATATTTTAGGTTTATGTTACATTTTATTTGTAAAAAGCGTGGAACTGAAAGTTCTTAATTTTTTTTTGTAAATAAATTTGTTTGCCGTTCATTATATTATAAGTTCCAAATATCAGGTGTTGCTTTCTTTCAATAGTAAAATAACGAATGCAATGGAAATTATCGCTAGTTTTTTTGGGAAATTTGCCCGAATGCATTTTTAGTTGAAAAAGATCACGAATACAGGTTAAAAACGCATGAGTACAAATTTGTCAAAAAATTATGGATATATTTCCATTGCACAAGTTGTATTTTATGGAGAATTTCATGATTGAATAATAAAATGATAATTTTATTTTGGAACACCCGTTAGCATGCAATTATCGGGACCAAAAACTTAAAACATGTCAATTCATTGTATATTATCTCTGATTGTAAATGAGATTCTCTATAAAATAGGACAGGAACTTTAGCCTCCATATCTACAGCATTTTTAAAAAATAAATAATTAATGGCCATTTCCACCAAGTATTTTAGGGAAGCCCTAACAATAGGTATGCCTTAAACTGACATTTCTCCATGTAAAAATGTCATTTTAGGGAATACTTATCGTTAGGGCTCCCCTGGAATGGTTGGTGGAAACGGCCATAAGTCCTGGAAAAGATAAAAACTGGGCCTTTGAATAAAACAAAAAAATTATCAAGAAATTATTTATTCAGGAAAATCCAATTGAAGTTCTCTTCTGTTTATGTAGTGATAGCTAGAAGTAGACAATGAATGTTTCCTAAAATTTATTATCAACAAGCAAAGGATTTTGCAAATTAACCATTCCACAAATAATTATAATAATATCATCCACCAAAGGTATTAAACTATTCACCAATGGCACATTGAGTATATTATATATCCTCATCCTCTGATTTACACGTTCAATATGTACTCTGGTTTTAGAAATTAAAACATTATCTTTCGATTCTTTCTCAGAAAACTGTTATTTTTTTCTTAAAAAATGAGGTCTTATCAGTTTAATGAAATATTCTTGGCAGATATTGTCAATAAGAAAACCTTTATCAACCATTACACTATCATGTCTAGGCTCCAATTTATTGATTAAGTTGCTTTGAACAAAAATGGCCTTATCAGAAGTCCTGCCTCCATAGCTTTTTGAAGCAAATGTTATTAGTCCTGCTGGACTTACACCAGTCATTATTTTCAAAGTCTGCCTACCCTTGTAATGTGAATATGTCCTAACTCTACAGCACAAACATTTGGGTTTTTCTATGGGAATCTCTAAACAGTCCAAAACTATTCTTACTGTTTTGAAATTTTGAAAACAACTGGGCATATTTTGGCTACACTCTTCTAAAGATGGCCAATGAATTAAACGTTTTAAAATGTTAGACAAATTTGAAATATAGTCAACAAATATTAACTTGCATAATGAAGGCGATACTTTAAATAGAAATGATAAAACATTTAATTTGAGAGCCATTTTGAGCTTCATAAAAACTAAAATAATTCTGACTGTGGTTGATAATTTATGTGTCTTTTTATCAGGGTAGAATTTCTGCACAAGTGAGGACATTGAGTTTAAAACACTAAATGAATTTATTCCAGTTAAAGAATTTAGGTGTTTGTCTTCTTTAATTGTTGAACTAAATGATATCATAATATCCCCACTCGACACCTGCACTTGTTTATCAACATATTCACGTCCTGCTTGATTGTTTAAACTAGCAAATTTTGTACCACAACTTTTTCTTCTTCTGATAAGTCTTGATAGGACCTTGGTGTAATTTCTTGGGCAATTGAAGTGTCTTCCACAGTTTCACACACCGGGGCTTCACTAATGGATGCATTTTCTGCATTTTGAACTTTCCGTCTCTTTGACAAACGGTCTTCACGAGAACTAACTGTTGCCTTGGCAGTTGGCTGTTTCCTTGCGGTCATCTGAATTAAAATATGGTCTCTTCTTCGGTAAGTTTAAGGAGGGCACAGCAAATCTCATTAATTTTGGTTGCTTCAAGTGTTTTATTGCTGGTCCTGAAACAATATTAAAAAAAAAACTTAGTACTAATCAAAACAATTCACCTAATAAACGAAATTTTCTTTTTGTTAATCTTTCTATTAATTAAGATTTTAAACACTGTTGATTATTGTTTTGTTTCATAATTGGTTTTATATCCTTGGTAACAATGCTGATGGATTTGGTTAAGGGTCGCATGTATAGGTTCAGTTTAAGCTTTAAGCTGTGGTTAAAGATAGGCGCAACCCATGTTCAATCCTAAGTCTAACGTTTAACCATAGCTTGAAGCATAAACTGAACCTATAAAATTGACCTTTAATTATTTTGTTGTTTGCATCTCGAAGGGTAAATTACTCCCAGTACCTGAGACCCTGAATATTTTACACCCTGAAAATCAATAATAGCAAGGATTTACAAAAACAAGCAATGTGGAGGGTCAACTACTGCAGGTACCTGAAGGGTCAACCATTGCAAGTACCTGGAGTGTCTTTTATCTTGAAATAATGATCAAATAATTTATAGAAAATATTGCAACTCTTTCTACACCAAATTAAGGATGTCAAATTTATTTACCTTTTGCACAATAATCCTCTTTTCGGAAATGCTTTGAACACACACGCATATGTTTTGTAACGGGCTTCCCCATCAATATTGCGTTTGCCCAAGCCTTTCTTTTATCTATAAGCTCTTCCTGTCCTAGAGCATTAACAATTTTGACACGAATGCCACTATTTTTTTCAGGAAAATAGTGGAAATGAATTTCTGGTTCCCTGCCTTTTTTTGAGTGGCAATCATAGACACAACAATTTGTGTTGTTATACCTAACGGCTCCAGACGACCCAGACGTTGATGGCATAGAACTCATATCACTAATTTTTAACTAAAATAGTCCTTAAAGAAGATAAATTCACAATATAATCACAATAATAACACAGCACAATCTCAAAAACGGCACGAATTCAACAGAATACCGGCATCGCATAACGTAAACAAACGGGCCATCGATATTGCTATACGCGTTTTCTTAGTTCAAATTTTTTCCGCCCAGAGGGCGTCTAGATTTTTGGAATCGCCATAAGTACCAAATGGTATGTTGGCATTTTTGTAAATTATTTTTTTCCGAAAAACAGCCACTTCAAGATCACGGATGGAACAATTTTAAAAAAAATTCGTATCTCCGTTATCAATTGATCAATTTTTTATTTCAAAAAAAATGAATTACTTGGAAAAGTCTATATTTTAATAAAAAAAAAAAATGTTTCAACTACAAAGATTTCATATTAGAAGACTGACTCCAATCTGACAAAAATACCTCCACCTGCGAACAAACCGAAGTTAAAGTCCCGCAAATTATCATCAATCGATTGGATGATTCCAATCAATGGATATTGGTCGTTCTTGTCAAAGAAGCCATCCAATTCAAGTGCTTTTAACAAAGGGAAGTACAAAACATCATGGGAACGTTTATGCTTCAAATACCAATTGGTTGCCAAGTGGCCACCGCTGATACATGATGCACTCAAAGAAATAGTATAGGTTATTTTAACCAAAAAGAATAGATAATTAACAATTCGGCAAATTTTGTTAAATTGAACTATATTTATAGTATTCTAAAACAAAAGCTAATTGTTATTACAATCAATACAAAATTGTTGCAGAACCAAATGGAATTTCACTTCAAAAATAGCTATATTAAACCATTACTTTGTCATGTATAACTAATAACTTGTCGAATACTGTTAAATAATACTAAAAAATAGTAGATCTACCAGCATTTTAGTCGATGTACTATTATTTTTGAAGCACTAACAAGTATTAATGTTTAATTAGCAGTTAAAAATGGTCGAGATTGACTATTATTGAAGCATCTAACTAATAAGTTGTTAAAGCAAACAAAAATAGGGTATTTCAACTACTTTGTGGTTATTTAATCTACTATAAGTTTACTGTACACTATTTTATTGTTGAACAGAACAAACTTTATGATGAAAGTAATTATTACCACAATATTTTTTATTTTACTATTTTAATATGATAATTTCACCCATCATTCAGGTTCGCGAACTATTTTATTTTTGGAAAAACAAATTCAAAGGTAAATTCACGCTCAATTCTTTTTAAACCAAACATATTGTTGGTTTAAATCATTCAAGTTTGATACCTAGATGGAATACATTCAGTGCAGTGAGTTCACAATAAATACTCGTATTTGTTCTGTTCCTGTTCGTGAAATACAGTTTTTTTCTGGTGAGATAAGTACTTTGCTATAATGGATTTGAACATAGGAATTCATTACGATCTTGAATATACAGATTTAGTTAATACGATGCCAGCTAATAATAACCCATTGATAAACTGTGTCGGGTCAACCCTCAATGCAAACCTCGCCTGACAAAGAAGACGTCTATTATAGCGAAGACTCGGAACTGCGAAATTTACTGGATAGGTGGTATATGGGTATAAGATAACCCATCTAAATTATTTTTTTCAGCCCAATAAATCACAGAAGAAAAGTTGCCTTATCTTTATTAGCTGTTGAAAGACTACACATTTTTCATTTTGGAAATTATGCATTATGGAGCGGACTTCCCAACATTAGGAACTAGAATTGAATTGCAGCAAAAACTTACTGAATGGAAAATAGAAAATGTGATTGAAAAAATAACATTATGCATTTATCATAGTGCTTATGCTTTTTTTCCAGAAAGTATCTACATGGTCAATTTCACTACCCACCCATATTCGTATGTATAAATTGCCTTATGGACATAACGTGAAATTTGAAAATATACCATACCTGTCTCCTATACTGTATCCATTATAATTTAATTTCAGACCTATCTATTTAGTATGCTTATATTTTATATTGTTAAGAAATAATTTGTTTTATCTTTAATTATTAAACTGTTTTTTGAAAAAAAATAAAATGTTTTTTATTCTAAACACCTAATCCAATTATTACCAATAATTAGTAATGATTGGATTAAATCGTATATTTGACCATATTTTAATTAATAAAATATGGTCAAATATACAATTCAATTGGCAACAAAACAAAAAATAGTAACCGAACAATAAATATGTAGGTGGAGAACAAAAACTGTGGTCAATCAAAGAATATTATAGACTAACGTCTCTAGAAGTCTCGTCCGTATTCTGATTTTTGATACCTCGATGGACGCCGGCTTTTGCCGGTGTGGACGCTGGCTCGAGTCTATTGCCCACTGTTGCCGAGTTGTCAGTGCTGTTGATTCAGCGTCCAGCCAGCGAGCCAGCATCCGTGTCTGCTTCTCTGAATGAAGTTATTAAAGTGAAATATTTGCTTTGCGTGCATAGGGAGACAGACGCGTGCCAAAAGGAATTAGGAAGTTAAGCATATATTTTCTAACATATTTGATAATTTACCAACGAATATCATAGATGGATGCTATTCTATCATTTTCTTTAGGTTTTTTTTTCAGTATATTTGGCAAATTTGCCACTTAGAAATTTATGTTTAATTTCGAATTATGAATTATTTATTTATTTTCCAGTAGATCGGTTTATTTACCAACAAGTAAATTTTGGGGTCGGTCAAGTTTCCGCCTGTATTAAACAAATTTCAAAAATAAATACCTAAACCATAATAATTTTGCACACTATAACTAAAATATTGCACACAACACAACGAAAACTAGAGCATTTTTTTAAACTAGGGGCAAACTTGACCGTTCCCCTTTGTTTGTCTAAAACTTGAAAAATCCCTATTCACCTAAATTTGCACAATTTCGCATGCCTATTTTCAAATTTTGCACACTTTTCTGGGGAAAGCTAAAGTATGTTTTTTTTTTAAAGATAATTCCCCAAGTCAAAAATTTAATAACTATGTTGGCAACCAAGCCTTTTCTACATAAAAAATTTGAAAGCATTGACAATTTTACATTGCATTGCCAACTTAATGTCATTTTGACTTTTATCTTTAAAAAAAAAAACTTTTTCTACAAACGTGTCAAAAATGCAATTTTTAACACCCCCCGTAGCATTAAAAATGTTACTTTATCGCACTAGTGCCATAAAGTCTTTATAGCACTAGTGTTAAAAATGAAACATCAAATTTTGAGAGCGAACATCAAAACTGTATTTTTAGTTATTTACATTGATATTAATGGTAAAATTGGAACAACTGAGGCAGTGGCGTAGCCAGTAGGGGGGCAGGGGGGGCGACGGCCCCCCCCGCCCCTACACGGATGGCGCCCCTACCGCTCTTAAAAAACAAAAGCATGAAATAAGAAATTATAAAATTATGCTGTTTCTTATTTATCTTATTGACCTCTTCACCCTTTATTCTTTATCGAAAGTCAGCATTAAGGAAAGGAGATAGTTTCTGTTTTGATAGTATTTGTTCATTAAACTATTGGTTAATGGGTTGGATGGGGCTGTCATCCGTCAGGATTTCCCCGGATTTGTTTTCAAGGCGTCCGGAAGGATTTTTTGAAGTTAACGACATGTCCACACATTATTTCTTGTAGGGATTAAAATACATAAATGTTTTTCGGCGTAGCACCGTGGCACCCGAAAAAAGAAATGTTTTTGAAGGAAATAAACTTTTTTGGGCGTAGCACCCAAGGAAATTTTTCGCCTCCGGCAGCGCCCGTTCTGTCCCCATTCCTCTTTAATATTTTCCCTCAATAAGCAAATATTACAAAAGCATACAAACAAAGTAAAAACATTCATTTGTTATCTTCTCTCGCCCCCCCCCCCCCCGCAAAAAAATTATGCGCCCCTTATGTGTTTGCCCCCTCCGCCCCGCAAGGCTGGCTACGCCACTGAACTGAGGTAGCCCGATTGGCCGCCTCATCTAAATTTTTCAAGGGATCGATGCAATCTTCTCTTTCTTCTGTATTTTGTTGCATTTCTAGCAAAAAAAATTACTGACCACGACATACTTTCAAGAAACTGACAAGACATTTCA